CTAAGGATTATAGTCCTATGGTCGAATGCGAATAGATCCAGGTCTGTGATCTGGTGAAATTAATACTAGGGTTAGATTAGAGGGTTTAAATGAAACATCCAAGCAGGGGTGTTAGGTATAGCAACTGGTAGAGAACCCTCAGGCGGACTTCTTCAATAGGTAATATAAAAAAGTTACATGTATAGCCAGTTGTATACTCGTCTAATAGTTCATTATAGATATGTTTATATAAAACATGTACCCACTATAAGTATTAATAAAAAGCTCAAACCAAAGAGGTCACCTTAATACTGAAAAAAAAAATAAAAAAATAAAAGGATCTTAATTGATTATTATAAATGTGATACAGCTACATAATACTAAATAACATCTGTAATATTACTATTATCTTACAAACTTCAAGTACTTCTGTACAAGTTTTATATATTCTAGAACGAAATTACTATGCCAAGTAGCTTAGTACAAGAAATTTAAATATCCCTAACACAAACCCCAAGTGTTCCTATATGAACTCCAAGTATCTTTACACAAATCTCAAATATCTTTACATAAATCTAAGTGCCTAAATACAAGCTTCAAGTGTTTCAAATATGAATGACAAATAATATAAACAATATCTCCAATTATCTCTGTACAGTTCTCATTATTCTAAGCACAGTATTATTTAATGTTGTTTGAACCTTTACTATTCTAAATACAATGATATCTAATGTTATTCAAATTTCTATTATTCTATATATAATATCAAGTAATATTGCTTAAGTTTTTACTATCACCACTAGATAAAAAGATATATAAAGAATACTTTTTATCCTTTTTTGCCAATTCTAAATTTCTATATTTCAACTTAAATATAATGACCTTTTAATTATAAAATATGATATTTACTTTTTAGAGTAATTTCTACAGACAAGGTTATTACTATATGTTTATATAATAAAATTAATTTATATACTATTATTATCTCAAACTGTTTGCCTGCTGCTATGTAGTAAAATGAACTACTACACCTTTATCTTATATATATTTGCAATAGTCAATCACTATACTGAGTAACCTTGTTATTTAGTTGTATTATACCAAGAAGGCTATAACTTTGTAACAATATTTTAAAGTATATTATCTAATTATAGAACTTTAAAGAACTTTTTTGCTAACTGATTACCCATATTTAGTTCTTTTTAACAGAGCTTATTCTTGCAAAGTTTACTTAAACTTTAGTACTATTTTATAACATATTCCTAATACTTATAGTATAACTTTGCTTTTGGTACTAAACTTCTAATTCAGATAGTTCAAAAAAATTATAACCTGTCTTTGATATACCAAGTTTATAATATCCAATATCTTTTTCTTCTAGTTTGAGACTTTTAATAATCTGATTAGTAGTATCTTTTATCTAAGATTCTTGCAATAAAAATATAATTTTAAAGATAAAAAAAAAATATTAAATAACTAAAAAAAATAGTTAAAAAAATATATATTAATAGAATACTAATAAATATAAAATAAAGAAAATAAATTAGCAATTAAAATTAATAGATATAATAATTATATAAAGAAAAAGAATAAATAAAAGAAAAATACTAATAAGAAATAAGAATAAATAGCAAAAACAATATAATTCTAAAAGTTTTAGTAAAAAAAATAGTAATAAAATTAAAATAGTAATAGACTAATTAGTAAAAAAAATAAAAGTAAAAAAGTTAAAAAATAAAAAATAAAAGCCTAAAAGACTTGTTTTATAAAAGAATTAAAAATAAAAATAATTAAAAAACAAAAATTTAAAAAAATATTAATTAAAAATAATAAAAGTTTCAAGAAAAAAATAACAAAAAACAAAAACAAATATATAATATATACAAATAGTACAATAAATTTAAAATTTTAAGAAGATATATTAACTAAAAATATAGATATAAAATAAATTTAAACAAGTAAAATATAAGATTGGCTAAAAAAAAATAGAATTAGAACTAGAAAAATAACTAACATCAATAACAATTAAATTAATAGTAATCAACTTTCTTTTGCAGATTTTTAATCAAAATCATCAAGAAGCAAAAACAGGAAACAACATTAAAAAACAACACTTTAGACTATAACAAAAAAGATAAAGCAGCAAAAATTACATATAGCTAAAACAAGATATAGATAAAAGGTTATAGATAGCACAATACAGAAATGAAAATAAAAACTTTTAATGAAAAAATTTATTTTTGTAAAAATTTTAAAAAACTGAATTGGAGGTTATTTAAAGCCTGGCACCTTACGAAATTACCCAAAGCCAAAAGAACGAAAATATAAAAATGGCTATCTGAAATGCACTAAGTAAAAGAGTCAAAAATGCGATTTTACTATATATCTATTATAGCCTATGTTTAACTCTAACCCTAATATTAAACGTCCCCAACAATTGGATAATTTTTTTTCAACCATCATGTGACTGCAAAATTTTGTTGCTAAAATGAAATGAGGGATTTCTATTTGACCTCCTAAAACATCTATTATAAATACCACCTCTAAAAACTATTCCTAACTTTAAAAAAATGACAATCACTCATTTTATTTTAATCTAGATTATCTATATCTTTGAAATTTCTCGTTTTCATACTTTCGAATTGACTAATTGATTCAGGTTGGGGCTCGAGATATTATTGCAGTTTGCAAAATGGTGTGACCTCTGCGTTTATCACAAAATACACGTGATAAATCCGAATTATTAAACCTCTCATCTATCGTTATCACGAAATCGGGTCATACCTTTTTGCAAACCGCTATAGTCATGTGAAAGGAATACGCGTGAACCTAAAATCGATTGAAAAAATTGATTGGCTAAGCTTTTAATTATCAGTTTTCTAATAATAAAAAAATTTGAATTCGGAACCGTATCAGTTATCTCTAACCTCTAAATTAATATCAGTCTAGTGACATTAAACTAAATTTGAAGCTCTGATTTTGATCCTAGGAACTAAATCCAGTTTTCTTTGATTTTGGTTCAAATCCGGATATATCAATATCAGATATCAACATAAAATCAGCTAAACCAAGACAATTCAACCACCTGTAAAATTTCGTAATTATTAATAACAGTATAAAACCCATTGTTTTTAATTTAGCAGAATTTTGCCAAGCGTATAATAATACTGTGCTGAATTTAAATTCGCGTCTTTTTACTAAATAGGCAAACAGAAGCTAAAAAAAATTCCGCTATGATGGCTAGCTAAAAATACAAGGAAACAATACGTATTGACTAATATTAGGTAAATTGATACCTATTACTCTCCCATTATATCCTTATGCTATCATTCAAATATGCGAATACGTAATGCATAGATATCGATTTAATTCAGATTTTAAAATGTGTAATCTATTATTAAATGCGACAATTAATATCACCTATTTTAATCCCGTCACAACCTGATTTCAAACTCAACGCTAGCCATCTTCCTACTATGTGTTAAGGTCATTGTCAGTAACAATGACCTAAGCACAGAGTAACAAAGTAATATGGTAAAATCAAAGATGGTTGATAATTGGTGTCTTAAAACACGTGTCGTTGAATATTTTAAATTCAGAAATTGACGAACATATTTGGTATAAGATCGATGTCGATATAATTTCTTAATACTGTAATAATAGTAGTCAAATAAATAGCAATAATTACGTGTGTGCGTTATTATTTAAACTCCCCCTTTTTTTTTTCTTTCAAATTAAGGTGATTGAACAACTCTATTCCTTTAAGTGATATAAAATCTACGCGGATTTCTTCAAAAGACACTGAAAAAAAAACTACTAGTAAGTTCGTGTTTTTAATTAGAATGGCTTAGCTATCTCAGGTTCACGGGTATTTACTTATACTTTTATTATATATTTCCTGTGCCTTGCGCGTTATTCTATCTTCTTACAAAGAATAAAAGAAAACTTTAATTTTGAAGACGGTATACACTTTCGATTTTTTTGTCAATTACAAAGTACATGAACACGATAACAATTATTTTAATATTACGTGTCTTTATTCAAAATATGACGAAAATAATGAACCTTTAATAACTTTTCTTATAGTATCAATAATGCCAAAATCTAAACGCGCGAGAAAAAATACTGGAAAAACGGCTGAAAAAAATACTGCTGCGTGTTGCCATTGTGGAGACACGCTTCACACTTCTGATGAATGCCCATTGGCGACGATAGATATAATAGATGAGGATGATTTGAATGATAAAAATTCAAGCGATGTGACTGTTAATGATGAAACAGATGAAAGAAATTCAAAGAGAAAAAGGGATGATAAAGGTAAAGCTGTTGAGACTGAGACTGAGCCTGGCCCATCGACAAAAGGCGAAGGTAGCAATGAAAAAGGTAGATATTGATTAGTATTTGGTATTCATTATTTATAATTGTTAATGACCGGGTTTATTTTTTGATAATATTTTCAAATGTTTATTTTAATTAACAGGGAAAAAAACTTCTGCAAAGCGTCAAAAAGTTACAAATTCGGAATCTAGCGAATCTTCTTCTGATTTTACTTCTGAAGAACCCGAATGGCTTAAAAACTCTCAAAGCGTTCCATTCATTCCAATTTCAATCCCAATTGAAACTTTAAATTCAGAAGTAACGCCTCAACCTGAGTCTACCCAAAGTCAAGATGCCACTGAGCGTGTTTTCGTCACTCCATATTATGTTGATTTGGACGCGTATCGTGAAGAACTCCGTGATGAAGAAAATGAAAATGATTTAGATGATGATGAAAATGAAAATGATTCTTATATTTTATACGGAAATACTAGAACTAAAATTGTGGGCGTCCAATATTATAATGGAATCGTTAACAAGGGAGAGGCGGTAATCTTCGATCATACAAATCTTAATGTTAAAATTAAAATATCATGCCACATATAATTTACTGATTATGTTGGTTTTAAAGGTATCTCTAATACGTGAGCCATCCAATCCTTACGACAAATATGCAATTAGGATAGACAATATTATGGGTGTTCAAGTAAGTAGAACTCGATTATCGATCCATCATTAACAAAACCAATACCAATTCATTTATTCTTTATATTAGGTTGGGCATATTCCTAGAGATGTTGCTGCTGTTGTATCTCCTTTGATCGATAGTGGTTTGTTATTAAAAATAGTTGATCTTTGATTGCAATCTTTATTTTATTTGTTTTATAATCTAATCTAAACTTATATTAGGTGAAATTAAACTCGAGGGTATAATCCACTCTTATTTAATAAATGGCTCTTTATTCTTGAATATAAAAAACTTATGTTATAAAATTTGTATAGCTACCATACTCGGGAACCGTGGTACTTACTCCATTCCACTCCAAGTGCACGTGTATGGGTCACCTCAGGCACAAGGATCAATCTCTAGCTCATTAAAGAAACGTGGAATTGCAGTCGAATCTCCAAAACAACCAAGACAAACGAAGAAAAGTAGAGCTGAGGCTGCTGCTTCTATGGGTATTCTTTATTCTTATTTTTAAATTTTTCTTTTCGATTAAACATTAGTTTGACATTTGATTGTTTTCGTTAATAGCGATGTTTGACGAAGCATGGCGTGATTTGGTTGGTAAAGGTCAAGAAATTAGTATGAAGAAGAAACAAGAGGCATTCGAAAAGATTGGAATATCTATCGAGGATTTGGAGAAACTTCCAGAGGCACCACAACCAGATGCACTTCTCACTAAACTTCTACCTTATCAAAAGCAAGGTCTCGGTTGGATGTTTTCTCACGAACATCCGGAAGATCCGACAGAAGAGAAGGCAACGCAATTTTGGGTTATGCGCAAAGAGACAGGATCCAACCTTTACTATAATGTTGCGACTAGTCACTCATCTCAAACTCGGCCAGAATTTTCTCGTGGTGGTATTCTTGCAGGTAAATATGAGTTTAAATTGATTTCTAACATTTCCTACTTTAACTCAGTACTAATAAATTGAACTCTGCGTTTTTAACATATTTAGATGACATGGGTAAGTCAGGACGATTAATTACATTTTATTCGAAAATAAAATTAATATGCTCCTAAATTTTTTTAGGTCTTGGCAAAACGCTACAAACAATCTCCTTGATTGTATCGGATAACGATGGAGGTGGATTTATTACCACGCCTTTGCCTACTAGCTCAGATTACTCTAAAACTACTTTAATTGTCGGTATGTTAAATGACAAGATGACCCTCTATTTTCACAAATTCCACAAATTTTAGTATCTATAATTTTTACAAAGTAAATCAATATTTCTATTTTTATGAAAGATTGATATATTTAGTAAAAACAGATTTTAAAATTTGTTAAATAAGTAGAATCAACTTGACATTTTATCCGAAAATTCAATTATATTATAATTAATTGTTACTATTTTTTGTGTAGCTCCATTGAGCATTCTAGGAAATTGGTAAGTATTGTTAAGATTTGAATTCCGAACTCCAATTTCATTATTCTTAAATTATATTGCTCATTTCAGGGTTGATCAAATAAATACTCACGTGAAACCTGGTGCCTTATCGGTCTATGTTTTCCATGGACCGAACCGAAATTCGAGTCCGTCCTTCCTTTCCAGTCATGATGTTGTGATTACGGTAATTATATACTTTACGATAGAAAGCTGCTTTCCTTAAATGAATTTTTAACGTTGGTTTCGCATATTTAGACCTATCAAGTTCTCTCATCATCGAATGTTAAAGACAAACGTAAAGGATTGTTTGCGATAAAATGGCGTCGTGTTGTCCTTGATGAAGGGCATGTCATTAGAACAAACAAGACAAAACAAAGTCAGGCTGCATGTGCTTTAGAGGCTGAACGTCGATGGATACTCAGTGGTACTCCAATCATGAATCAATTGAATGATATGGTGAATATGTACTTTTTAGCCTTATTTTTACCTATATGTTTATCAGATTAAAAGATCACTTACTCATGTGTTAAACCATTTCACAGTATTCGTTGATTAAATTTTTGAAAATTACACCATTCCATGATTATGACTTGTGGACTCGAGTCTTTTCTCGTCCTGTCAGCAAAGGGGTATGGATAGTTGAAATTATTTGGCACTGCTATTTGCTTGACATTTATAACTTATGGTATCTTATTTATTAGGATTTCGAGGGTATTGACCGTCTTGCGGTTAGATTACACGATTTGTTTAAGCCACTTGTTGAATTAACTTTTGCTTTATTATATTAACTTCTTTTTTAACATTTAGTGCTTAATCCGTACTACTTGTCTTAGACGCACTAAGGACATGAAATTCAAAGGTAATTCGTGTTAAATGTGAAATTTATAAATAAAATACCTAACGTTAATTATATTGCAATCATCTTGTTCACATTAGGTCAATCAATATTGGATCTTCCTCCAATTACCTCTTATTTGCATAAAGTCAAATTTACTCCTGAAGAAAAAAAGAAATACGACCTTATGGAGTATGTTAATACAGACTATATACGCCTATCGCTTATATTTTCTTCATGATAACATGATCATAATTGTCTTTTAATCATTAGCGAAACCGCGAAGGAATGCTTCCGTAAATTAGAAGATGTTGGCGGAAGGGTATGTATTTTCGAATTAATCGGCTTTATGCGCAATCATCGCATAAGGTTCATTATTTTATAATCACTTTAAATAGGGTAGTGCTGCTGCATTATTGGAAATTTTAATGAGGATGCGACAAATTTGCGATCATTGGAAACTTGCCGAAGATCGGTTGAAATTAGCTGCTGAGTCTTCACTTGATTTAACTCCTGAGAATGCGCAGTTATTAGCTAAATTCTTGAAAGAAGCGATCGAAGATAATGAAGATTGCTGTATTTGCCTTGATCCATTATCATCACCAGTTATAACACTTTGTAGGCACGTTTTCGATCGTGGTAAGTTTATTTTGTTTCATATATATATTGGTAGTATTTGATAACGGACGAACATGTAGTTTCGGGAATTTTTAATGATACCCTTAGTAGCGGATTAAGAAATAATGTTTATTTTACTTATCGTTCTTATAGAGTGCATTGAGCAGGTGATTGACAAACAAAAGCATGCATGTCCTATGTGTCGTAATCCTATTCGTAAGGAACAATTAATTGAGCAACCTCTGGATTCAGTCGAAGCTGACGAAGGTTCTAGTGGAAATTCGAATAAAGGTTACGTTTCCAGCTCTAAAATTGACGCCCTTTTGGAATTCCTGAAAGGTATTATTGAATATACTGAGTTTACCGTTACTCAGAACTGATTTCTAAAATAGTTAATTTGATACTTCGAAGTGTCTGATGAAAGAGATCCAACCAGCAAATCTGTAGTTTTTAGCCAGTGGACATCTTTCCTTAATCTGGTTGAACCCGCTCTTCATCATGCCAACATCAAATTTGTGCGCTTGGACGGAAAAATGTCGCGTCTTAAACGTGAAGAAGCAATGAGGATGTTTCAATATGATCCGGATATTAAAGTGTTTTTGATAAGCTTAAAATGTGGATCATTAGGGCTTAATTTGACTGCTGCTGATCGATGTTTTATAATGGACCCGTGGTGGAATCCTGTAAGTGTGCTATCTTTCTTTAATTTGATCTTTGCTATTATGAACATTATAAAATATCTTTATTTATTCATATGTTGGTATTCTCAGAGTATCGGTAAGCTTTTATTTTTGATTTTTAAATTCATACTTGAGATTTTTAAAATATTCTCTAATTAAATTTTTGTAATAGAGGACCAAGCTGTTGGTTAGTATTATTATTCACTAATTATGTATTATTTTAATTGTGCAAGTCGTATTTACTTATCGATTTTATAGATCGAATTTATCGATTGGGACAAACTCGCCCAGTGTCGATTTTCCGCTTTGTAGTTGAAAATACAATCGAAGACCGTGTGATCGAATTACAAGAAAAGAAAAGAGGCTTGGTATCACAAGGTTATATATAATTATTTATTCACTAATTCTGTTTATTTAAAATAATTCAAGTTCTTTATCATTTAATCATAATTTATCATGTTTAGCTTTTGGTGAAAAGGTCAGAAAAGATGCAAGCAAAAGGCTTGAAGGTACTATTAAATTAGCATATGACTATTTGTTTCTTGTTCGTAATTTATAGAATTTATTTTTCTAACGTATGTCTTTATCATTAGCACGATTGGAGGATTTGCGAGCATTATTGGCGACGAAATAAGTTGACTAGGGTTACGTCTCAGCCTTTTTTTTGAATGATATATGATTACGTAATTTGGGTTTGGGAATCTCTTTGGATAAACCTAATTTGTGTTTCATTTGCGATCAATGACAGTAAACTCTAAATTTCATTTCAAATTGAGACCTAAAACGATTTACGATTTAGCTACTAAGCAGAATTGTTAAATAAATTGATATTAGGTCTAATAATTATCTCGAAATGTATATAATTAAAGTTTTTCACCTAAAATAAACAATAAATTTCCGATCAGGTTTTTTCAAAATTCAGAAGCATCTAACAGTTTTGAGAAAAGCTTAATAAAAATTGATTCCTTATTAGTCTTCTTGTATATGGATTATTTATAAATCGTTGAACCATAATCAGGAGGTTATTGACACTTACAATGTAAACCAAAAAAAAGTATTATAGTATTTTTAGTAATTAAAAATATTATGAAGCATATTCAAAAAAAATTTTATAATGATTACATTAGATTTTGAATTTAGAATTGTTTATTAAAACGTACGTACGTACGTAGTTGACAAATCATTACTACAAAAATTTAATAATATTTTTGTTATCCCTTAATCTGTAAGTTTTTTTAGGCAAATTTGTTTGAAAAATTGTTAAAAATATGTTTATGATCTATATTTTTTAATTTTTAAAATATTTAAATAAAATTTTATTTGATAATATTTGAAAATAAGGATTATATTATAGTAGTATTTAATTTTAT